TCATCAGCAGAACACATCATAATGTAGTGGCATACAAGCACAACCATTAGCTTCTATAGCACCATCACAATGCTAATCTAGCAACTAACTAACACTCATTCATTCCTTCCAGCAGCTTACTATCTCAATCGTCAAACACAACATATTTGCTCTTGTCCTGTCCTGTTTTGCTTTTCGCCATTATTTTCGTTTTAATGTCGAAGAGAACCAATGATACTAATAGTGTATGATAAGTGAACGTGATATGTGGCCAAAATATGGAATGGTGATGGCATATGCAACATCCATCTAATACGAGAAGCCTACATCTGGAGCACAAACACATCACTACACCACCATTCGTGAATACTCGAATGAAACGCTACTCCAGATCTCGTCATTTTCATCGTAAACCCAACTGGCGGTGATGACATTACATCGCGACATTACGGACAACATGCCAACAGCTCTTCCACATGTCAACGCCAACTGAAATGTCGTTGATAATGTCATCGTACTGCCATTGTAATCGCACAGTGAAATAAGCCCGATTACCAACAAAACAAGCAACCATCAAACTCATGAAACGAACCAACAATATCAATCGACCAACAAAACTGGATACCAATCGTGATAAAACTAAACTGCAGCATGGCATGCGCATTTTCGTTGGACATTTCCGGATGACAGTACCAAATGCCTATATGCTCTTGCAACCATCAGTCGACACAACCACTTATTCTTATCTTACATCTCTTCCGTGCAATGCTCAACTTCAACAGTAACAAGCAAGCAGTGACTNGACACAACCACTTATTCTTATCTTACATCTCTTTCGTGCAATGCTCAACTTCAACAGTAACAAGCAAGCAGTGACTCAACGACTCAGTTAGTCTCATACACGTTATCCATCAAATTTCATTCTTTTGAAATTTGTTCCACTGAAAACTTTGCAATCACTTCACAAAAAACATCACTTCGAAATAGCCAACAGCCTCCGTGCGTTTTCGTACGTCGTCTAATTGATGCCATCTGTTCATGAGCATTAGTTCGCTCTCGCATCGCACGTTTCCGCCATTGTTCCATTGCAAATGCACCACCAATTTTGTTCGACTCCTCCATTCCTCAACAGTATGAGCAGCCATCAAGTGTGAATGAGGCCTTTTCCGTATGTGGAGTTGCGTTCTGCATTGCAACCGCACATCGATCGGTTCTGTGGCCAAGACGCATGCAATAAATCAGCAGAAATGTGTATTTACACAACAAACACTTTCGCAGAATAAGTTCATCAAGTGAAACAGACATGAGTCACTCATTGACAAGAAACGATACGGAAATTTGCTTGATTTAAAATGATGCAATGTGACAATGTGAACAGCCAATACTGCATGAATATTGCAGATATTGTAGTAGCAAGATGAAGTCTGCGAAAGAAATTACAGACAGACAGCCTGGCGATTGGCTGAAGACAATCATCGCAGTTGTTCTGAAGTGGATAACAATGATTGCTTTTTTCCAATTTATGATCCCACTGGTAGCTGACTTTAGGATGTTGATTTCAAACACACCTGAACATTCGGTGTATCGACTGAACTGTCTAAAGTAGGAGGCACAAAACCGAAGCTGCTTCAGTGTTCTCAGCGTGAACTCGAAATTAAAAGCAGCGGCACAACGCATTCAAAACAAGTGATCCTAGGTCA